ATTGAAATAAAATGTTACACAATATAAAAAAGATCGACGATCGATTTTATCACAGGTGATAAAACGAATGTCCACTAATATAAATAAATTTGTTTGAATTGTCGCGATTTTATTTCATGTGATCAATGCAATACTGTACAGGGTTTAAAATCTTGCATTACATATAAATTTCAGGGATAGTAACCCTATAAGAGGGACTCCAGAAATTACCCTAAAAACCAAATGCGCCCATATGTTCTAAATAGAACTCAATTGGTTGATCCGATTATACAACTATTTTTTTTTATACTAAATGGTGGAAACTGAAGAGCAAAATGGTTCTAATAGTAATAACTCGGATAAACGAGAACATAATAAGAAAGCACGGTTTGGCAAAAATACCCTTGCACTTTTGGAAGCTCATACTTCAAATAATAGTAGTGATACGCCTCGAACGTCTTTAAGTTCAAGAAATTCAGAAAGTTCAGATAATGAAGATATTGGAGATAATCTTGAGCCAGAGACAAACTGGCAACAAGTCATAGTGAACTCATTTTTTAAATTGATTGGTGAAGAGCAACCTCGTAGTACTACCCATAATAGTGAACGTTCACTTAGATCTCGAAGAAAAAATTCTAAAGGCACTAGTAATACACCATTTATTCCTACTGCAGCACAACTTAATGCGCCTTACATCGAAGAACAAGATCCAGAGAATTATGAATTTTTGGGTCCTTCACCTGATATAAATCAAACCTCAGAAAGACATTCAATAGATGAACAAAGCAATTCAATGGGTGAACCTGGTCCATCTAAGGGTATTTACTTATTATTTTTTTTTTATTTTGAGAAAATCAACAAAATCAAAAATAATGATATTTCAAATAATGTTATTCATTTAATAATAATTGTGATATTTTAAAAATATCGTAAACTCAGTTCGAGAAAGTTTAAAGGAAAGTATTCTTAAGACGAAAAAATTAGCAACTGTGAATAGAATTTTCTCAACACCTGGTGGCAAAAAACATTTACAAGATACAAATGTAGATTTGCTTTCTTTTCCAAGTCTAATTGCCGTACCATTGTTGTGGGCGAGAAAAGATCATAAAGATCGTAGATCGGTATAACTTATTCTAATAATTTGTGATTTTTAACCTTCATTATATAAAATTAATTTTGCGACTCTCATTTAGCCACCAATTTTAGTTGATTTTCTCAAAGTAGGACTTCATAAAATTTTTTTCATTATAAATTTATTTGTGTATTAGAGTTGTATTTGATTCGTTTATCTAATATATTTGTGATTTAGTTGGCCATTACTGATTCTTATATTGATGCTGATTCTAAAAATTGGCAAAATTCATTCAGAATTGAATTAGAATATGGAGATGTAAAATGGGTAGTCAAACGAACAGGATTTGATTTTATTACGCTTCACCTCAGTTTAAATCGAAGGACAGATTTACCAGACATACCTAGGTTCCCTTCCGGTATTACTAATTGGTTTAGGGCCAATTTATTTAATTGGCATACTACTCAAGTGAGTCGCCAAGATGCTGCTCGTGAAAGACGAGAAGAATTAGAGAAATATCTTATCGCATTAATAAAATCCTTGAGTTTACATGTTGCATATGATTTATATGAATTTTTGGAACTCAGTGCAATCTCTATTACTAGAGATATGGGATGGAAGGGTAAAGAAGGTTACATAGAAAATAAAGTTGAACGAATTAAGAAACCTATCTGTTTTTCTTTAAGATCAGGTGAAAAATGGGAACGAGAATGGGTGATAGTTCGCGATTCGTATCCTTTATTGTCATTAATAATTGTTATTATCAATTACACTTTACTAAATTTTATATTAAATATATTATGTTTAAAATTACTTAAATTACAATATCATAAATTAATTAGATATATTGGCTTTTGTTCACATATTAGTGATACAACTCCAGCAGATGTTTTCCTTTTCGACAAAGATTTTTTGTGTGAAAAGATTAATCCGTCTGGAATAAATAAAGTAATAATGATTCATGATCATGTCAGTATAGGAAATAGTTATAGACGAATTGAAATGAAAGCTGATGTCCGTACCTTAAAAGAATTTATGGAAAGTGTGGAGAGAGTTAAACTTTCCTCTCCATGGGTCAAACAACATAGGTTTGATTCATATGCACCTATTAGAAAAAAGGCAAAAGCTAAATGGTATATTGATGGCAAAGATTATCTTAATGCTGTATCACAAGCGATATTAGCAGCGACATCGGAAATTTATATCGAAGATTGGTGGTTGTCTCCTGAATTAGTAAGTATTCAACACAAATTATATAATTTTGTCATTACATAATATATATCATTCATTCATTATAAATAAAATTTATCTAGTATCTTCGTAGGCCCCCATCTGAAAATGAAGAATTTCGCTTAGATAATTTACTTAAAAAGAAAGCAGAAGAAGGAGTGATGATTTATATCGTAGTATATAAAGAAGTTAAATTGGCTTTAACTTTAGATTCTCAACATACGAAAACTCATCTTCGAAATCTACATCCGAACATCAAAGTTCAACGTCACCCAGATCACGGACTTGAAGGAACTGTTTTTTGGGCGGTAAGATTATTATCTTTTATTTATTATATTATTTATATATGTTCATATATTTATTTGTGTCTAGTAATGATAATTTAAATGCTAATTCGTTTAATTCGTTTTTATTTATTTATTATTTTTAGCATCATGAAGTAATTAACGAGCAATTTTTCGATGAATATTTAAAGTCTTATCTTTGAACAAAATTACTAAGCAAGCCACTTGTTATCCTTTGAATTATAGAAAATGGTGGTTATTGACAGTCACGTAGCATTCATTGGAGGGTTGGATTTATGTTTTGGACGGTACGATACACATGAACATGAACTTTCAGACTTGGATAAAGATAAAAAATTTGTAATCTGGCCTGGACAAGATTATTCTAATCCTAGAATCAAAGATTTCGCAGATGGTGAGACTTTAAACTTATAGAAAGTGGGTTCGAAGGATTTAATAATTTTAATTATGTAAAATTAACTCTAAAAATATTTTTTAGTTGCGAAAAATGCTTTGATTGATAACATTGAAAGAGATAAATTCCCTCGTATGCCATGGCACGATATCGCAATTGGAATGGTCAGTTATATTTCTTCCTCGTTTTTATGATTATTTATGAGAAGCTCTTTTCTTTACTTAAATATGCACATATAAATGTTATGTACATATATATTTCTTTTAATAAAATAAGGTTGGTCAACCAGCCAGAGATGTGGCTAGGCATTTTGTACGAAGATGGAATTTTATAAAAGAAGAAAAATCTGGAGGACATCTAGATTTGCCTTTCTTATTGCCGAAAGGAGAATATGTGAGCACTCGTGATGAAAGTAGATTTAAGGGCACTTGTAATGCACAACTTCTACTTAGTAGCACATTTTGGAGTACTGGAACTAATCCTGAGGTAATAATTGTAAAATTACTTTCTTTCTTTTCTTAAAGTGAGATTCTAAAATTTTTTTATCCCCTTTCTTCCATACGTTAGTATTCTATCTATAATGCATATTGTCATTTAATTAGAAATTCTAAGCATTTTATATACATTGAAAACCAATTTTTCGGTAATTATTATACTAATTTTTTTTTTAATCACCTTAACGATTACAAAGAAAATTAATGATTTTGATTTGCAAATTTAGTTACATCGACTGAAAATGATCCTAATTATGAAGTTAAAAATTTAATCGGCGGGGTAATTGACTTTACAAAAATTATAATTATTATTTTAACATCACAAATATTGAATTAAATGTTTATGATTTATTTAGTTTCTTGTCGAACGTATTATTAAAGCTCATAAAAGTAATGCAAAATTCCGTGTTATAGTTGTTATGCCTCTATTACCCGCTTTTGAGGCTGATTTGAATTCGAATGATGCCGGAACTATCCGGTAAGTTATTATTTCTATTAATATTTTATTTATTTAAAAATTCTTTTCGAAATAATTGACTTTATACATATCGTAATTTAGTATGGTTATGCATTGGCAGTATGTTTCAATTTGTCGTGGTGGGAGATCTGTATTGGAAAAAATTAAAAGTGCTGGAGTAAATCCAGAGGATTATATATCATTCTTTGCGTTACGTAATTATGGCAAGATTTCTCAAGTAGAATCTATTTCTACTAATGGATCAGTTAAGGATAAAACGGTCAATATAAATCCATCATCTATAGATGCTTCAGTTGAGTCTAACGAAGATTCACAAGAATCAAAAAATCATGAAAACGAATTTCCGAATGTCAGTGAGAATAATCCAGTTGATAATAAACAAGTTAAACCTTCTGGTGATGCAAATAATAAATTTGTCTATATCACAGAAGAGGTTTATATACATAGCAAGTTGTTGATTGTAGATGACAAATATGTTATTATTGGTTCAGGTTTGTTGAATTATAATTATTTTCAAATATTTATTTGGATTTTTTAATTTATGGCTCTATTTTATTTTATTTTTTTTTAGCCAATCTGAATGACAGATCGCAGCTTGGATATCGTGATTCTGAAATTGCAATATTAATAGAAGATAAATCTACAATAAAATCTCGTATGGACGGAAATGAGGTTTGTTATTTATATATTGATATAATAATATCACAACTTCATTATTATGTATACTAATTATCTACATATTTATCCTCTTTTTTTCTGTTTATAGTATATGGCTTCTAAATTTGCATACACTTTGCGCAATGCTTTATTCAAAGAACATCTTGGTCTTCTTGAATATCAAGATCATTCTTCCATAACCAAAAGCTGCTTATCACCTGACGATCCTCGCATATTGCGTGAAATGTTAAAAGAAAAAGATCCTGACGTTATTTCATCTCTAGAAAAAATGGCACCAGAAAACGAACTTAAACACCCAACAAAGGAAGATTTGATTGTCATGGATCCTTTGTCTGATGAATTTTATGATTATTGGAGTAAAACTGCTCAACGTAATACTGAAGTTTATCGTTCTGTATTTAGATGCGTTCCAGATGATAATGGTATGTTTCTACATGAATTTTGCCATTGCTTTAAGATTTATAACTTTCTAATATATATTAATTTCAAATTTTCAATTTTCATTTTATAAATAAATAGTTACTACTTGGGAAAAATACGAGAATTTTGTGCCCGATCGAACAAAAGTTCCAATAGGACATGCAGCAAATCAAGCTGATGTAGAAACGATTAAAGACAAATTATCTAACGTCCGTGGACATTTGGTTGAGTTTCCAACTCGCTTCTTGCAATCAGAAAATTTATTAAGCAGTGTAATCTCGAATGCAGTTACTCCTGCTGAAATATTTACATAATTTAATTAATTTATTGTAATTTTTTATTTGACTTTTTTTTTTTTTTTCTTTCTTTCTTTCTATTAGTTCTATAATAATAATTATATTTCCTTGTATTGATTGTACTAAAATATATAATGAATGATTTATTACAAAAATTAATAGATATTTTTCATTTTCATTATTTTATTTATTTATTTATTTGTATGGAACTGTATGGAACTTAAGACAGATGTTAGTAAAAGGGATATAATTTTTATTCGTCAATAATGTTTTTAGATTTTAATTTTTTTTACTATATTTCTTATTTATTTTATAAAGGTAGATAACATTTTTTTTTTATTCAAAATGGTAATATAGAAAATAATATTTTTTTTTTTAATTTTATTATTTATTTTACAGGTTTTCAGTTCTTTAGTAGGTTATAGTCCAAATTTTCCTTCATAAAGGCCAATATCATAAATAAAACCGAACTAGTTAGTTTTCTTACGATATTTTATTCTGATCAATATACCTCTAAACAATGAGAACAATAAATCAATCATTGTCAAAACCAAAATTGCCGTTAATAATTAAAGGACGCGAAATTGATATCGTTTTATGAAATAAGTGAATATTTTTTCACTCAACCTAACATTGCATGGCGTAAGACTGAATTGATCCAACAAATGGTTGAAAATTTTTGAAGAAGCTTTGTGAATATTTCACGTTTCCAGATGTCACGGGTTGCGTGAAGGGTATAAAATTCAATCAAACTCTCAAAATTAAATTGAATATATCTGACAATAGTTGTATTCATTTGTTAAAATTATATGTTTTAACAGCTCAACAAACTTTTTCATTGAATAAATATACTTTCCCCAAAGGTGAAAGTTGATAACTAGATAACTATGATCAATTACCATGTATTAGGAAGTTTAACAATGCAGAAACAGTAATGCAAATGAGGCTGATGTCACTAGGATGAGATAAAATTATCTTGGTAACCAATAAGATATTAACTAAGGTTTTACTTGAAGTATTGTCCAAGCAAATGCATCTATACAATGATAATACTACTGCATTTGTCTCTGGTATTCTCATGAAGATTAATCAAATTTTAACGCGTTTCCTTTAATTAATTAATTAATTAATTATTATTATTATTATTTTATTTATTATTATTTTATTATTATTTTATTCAATTCATTCAATGAAGTAAGTATGTGAAATGATATTCGGGATGGATGTGTAATCTACGAATTGCCATCTTTAAAATTTATGGTACACAACATAAGTAATTTAAATAATTTTACACTAAACTTATGATAAATTAATTTTAAATTAAAATTTAAATTGAAACATTAATATAAATTGGGTAATTTATTAAAAAAAGCGGAGAACTTATTAATTTGGACAAATTTGATATATCATTCTAATTTCTAAAAAGTGCCATTTTTTGAAATACAATGCCTATTATTTTTTTGGCGTTAAACGGTCAGTGAAGAAAAAATGATGTAATGTAGATTTTGACTTTATAAAAACACGATGTCAATTTATTATAATTGGTTTTTTTTTTTGGTCTTGTGAATTTTTGTTTTTTTTTTTTTTTTTTTTAAAAAAAAAAAATAGATTTATAAACAACGGAAATAATTTTATTTATAATAAAATAATAACAAACCACTTTAACAACAAATTCTTGTCATTCTTATCTTATAATATTTATAATATTTATAATAATAAAAAATTCTAAAGATATTATATTATTTATATTATTTGACCATTAATAAAAATGACCAAAATAAATCACGCATTTCAATTTCTTAATGATAATCGTCATTTTATCGAATTACAGTAAGAAATTAAATTTTAAATTTATTTTATTGTTAAAAATTTAAAAAATTATTATTCACTTATTCATTATTAAATTATTAAATTATATTTTTTATATTTGTAGCCTTCAGAAATCGAAATATCCCGAAATAATAAACAAATTATTACATGCTGAAGAAATTATGGCATCCGAAAATCCTAGAGTCAGTAAACACGAATCTAAAGCTTACCAAATCTTTAAATATTATGAACCTTATCACATTCACGCTCAATTTCGTGTTTGTGATTATGAATTCAACGAAATTTGTCATTCGTATTATAATAAAAATAAAAATAATAATAATAATAATAATAATAATGATGGTGATGATCATTATAATAATATTAATCATTTACAAATTCAACAATTAATTCAACGATTACAAAAACCCATACAACATAATTATCATCATGCGAAATATTTATTAAGTGGAATATATTTCTTAAATCCAAATACTAAAGCGGAATCAGATAAATTATTAAAAGAAGTGGCAAATTGGGAATTGGTAGTTGAAGAAGAACAAAAAGTTTACATTAATGCGGAAGCAAGAATTGAATACGCATTTGATTGTTTAGTGAAGAATGAAAGAAATTATGAATTAGGTAGAAGATTTTTATATGATGCTTATTGTACTAATGATGAATTTTTATGTGAAAAGGTAAAGAGATTTATGCGTGATTGTTCGATTAGTTTTAATAAACCTGTTCCTGAATGGGCAAAATGATAATATTTGATTATAAATTTATAATTGTTTATAGTTTATAGTTTTATAGTTTAGAATCTATAATTAAAATTAAATAGTTTCAATTTTTTATTTCTTTAATTTGTCTCTTTTTTTTTTTTTTTTTTTTTAGATTGTGTGGTTATAAAGAAATAGAATATTTTATGGAAATAAAGAAATGATATCAAATCACATGATATTAATTATTATTCATTTTTTACAGTAGTAAGAAATTAAATTAACTTTCGTAACACCTAAATTTAACCCAAAAAGTCTTGAAAATGATGATCGATAAAAAAAAAATCGATAAAAGATTTGATCTTTTTTTAATCGGTTCAGGTTTTTTGTTTGGATATAACAAAATAACAATAAAAATATAATAAAAATATGCTGAGACTCAAGACTATAAATCAACACCACTTACCTATTATTAATTCATCAACAACCAAATTTTTAAATAGGGTATGAATACAAGTAATTTATTCCTTTTTTTTTTTTTTAAAAAAAAAAAAAGATATACCAATTGAAACTATTTACTATTCTTCTTTTTTCTTCTTTCAAATTCCATTATATCAAATTTTTTATATGATCCATACAACAATTATATTTTATCAATTTTTTAATTTTTCTAATTTAAAATATTTAAATTTTTATCCAATATCATACCAAATTTGTACATCAAATTTATAAATAAATAAAAATAAATAAATATATGTATGTTATTGTAGTCGTTCTTACTTGTTAATTCTTCTTCATCAAATTCTTACGTAAATGGACGAAAATTTATATTATTAGATATATGTAATAATAATACAAGTAATGGAGTTGGTCGAAATATTTGTAAAAAGATTGGACAAGAAGATTATCGAATAAATTGTACATTATTTAAAAGAAAGGTAATATATATATATATATATATGTATATATATATATATATATTTATATATTTATATTGATATGTATTTATAATTTAAAATAATTTAAAAAATTTTATGATTTTTATATAATTCAGTCTTTATTCAATAATCTAAATAATAGAATAACTCGAGATTTTACTTCAACAACAAAATCATCCATTTCTAATAATACATTGAAACAACAACAACAACAACAAATAAATACTGGAAAATCAACAATAAAAACTGATTCATCAATTAAAATTGATCCATCAATAATAAAATCCGAACAATCACCAAAAAAAACTGTTACGGATTGGAGTATTATAAAAAATTTAGCAGGATATATTTGGCCTAAAGATAATTTATCAATTAAAATTCGAGTGGTTTTAGCTTTATCTTTGTTAATCGGAGGAAAAGTATGTAAATTATTAAATATTTTAAAATATTAATTATTAATTATATACTTTTTCATTCAATATTATTAACCAATGATAATTATATATATATTTTTTATAAACTTTATTTTTGAAAGGTTCTCAATGTTCAAGTTCCATTCTTCTTTAAACAAATAGTTGATTCTTTAAATATAGATGTAGAACAAATAGGAAATGTCTGGACAGTTGCTGGAGCTATTATTCTTGGATGTAAGTATTATTCATTTGTTACAAGCGAAGTATTATTCATTTATTACAAGTATTGTTCTTGAATGTAAGCAAATAATAATAATAATATTAATATTATTAATATTTATTTAGATGGTCTTTCACGTATTGGATCAACGATTTTTCAAGAAATAAGAAATGCCATTTTCGCTAATGTAGCTCAAAAAGCCATACGTCAAGTTGCAAAGAATGTATTTTATCATTTACATCAATTGGATTTAAATTTTCATCTGTCACGACAAACAGGTGGTTTAAGCAGAGCCATTGATCGTGGTACAAAGTTCGTATTTAAAAGTAATGATATTATTATAATATAAATTATTATTTATTATTATTATTGAAATTAATAATACGAAAATTATTTTATTATTAAAAAAAAATATAATATATAAAAAATAGAGGGATAAGTTTTTTACTTTCTTCTCTTGTATTTCACGTGTTGCCAACAGCTTTTGAAATTTCTATGGTTTGTGGTATATTGGTAAGTATAATAATAATAATAATAATAATAATAATAATAATAATTTATGTATTAATATATTTAATAACATTTCATATAATAATATATTTTTTATATTTATTTATTATTTATTATTTATTTATAAGGTTTATAATTATGGAATACATTTTGCAACTGTGACGATATCCACGATGTTAACTTATGCAGCATTTACTATTAAAACAACTTCTTGGAGGTAAAGAGATTTAGATTTTTTAATAAATTCAAACTTTATTGATTCTTTAACAGGACAAGTTATTTATTTCATTTGATATTTTTAAAATAAAAAGAACGAAATTTCGCAAAGAAGCAAATCAAGCAGATAATGAAGCAGCTACGGTTGCTGTGGATTCTCTAATTAATTATGAAGCTGTTAAATATTTTAATAATGAAAAATTTGAAGTTAAGCAATATGATAAAGCTTTATCTAAATATGAGAAAGCATCTCTTAAAATTGCTACTTCTTTATCACTCTTGAATTCAGGACAAAGTATCATTTTTAGTAGTTCTTTAACTTTGATGATGTATTTAGCTGCTCAGGGAATTGCTACTGGTATATAATAACTTAATTATAGTTTATTTATTTAAATAACTTAATTATAGTTTATTTATTTATTTATTTATTTATTTGATTTAATTTATTGATCATTTATTAATCATTTATTTATTTATCTATAAGGTTCATTAACTGTGGGAGATCTTGTGATGGTTAACCAACTTGTATTTCAGCTTTCATTACCTTTAAATTTTCTTGGTTCAGTATATAGAGAATTACGTCAAAGTTTAATTGATATGGAAACCATGTTTAATTTACAAGCTGTTAATATTACGATTAAGGTAAAATCAAATAATTTTTATAAAACTTATTTTTACTATCATCAATTAATATAATTAATATAACCAATATAATTAATATAACCAATATAATTAATATAACCAATATAATATAATCGATATAATCAATATAACTAATATTTACCATTAAATTTATATCGTTAATACATTTAATATATACTTTCTATTAAATAATAGGATTTACCTAATGCGAAACCTTTAGTTCTTAATAATGGAGGTGAAATTGTTTTTGATAATGTAACATTTGGTTATCATCCTGATCGACCAATTTTAAAAGGAATGAATTTTACAATACCAAAAGGAAAAAAGATTGCTGTTGTTGGTCCAAGTGGTTGTGGGTAAATTATATAAATTTTTTATATTATTATATGCGTTTGTGTTAAGAAAAATACTTATCATTTATATTTTTACTTTAGAAAATCAACTTTATTAAGATTATTATTCCGATTTTATGATCCATTATCTGGAAATATATATATTGATGGACAGAATATCAAAGAAGTTACATTAGAGAGTCTAAGATCTAACATTGGAGTTGTTCCTCAAGTAATTATAAGATTCTATTTTATATTTTATATTTTAATGTAAATTTTATTGATATATTTTAATTTTATTTTAAAACATTATTTTTAAATATTTTAACATTTAATTATTATTTTAATAATATTATAATAATTATAATAATAATAATAATAATAATAATAATAATAATAATAATAGGATACTGCTTTATTTAATAATACAATATATCATAATATCGCATATGGAAAAATAACAGCAGATTACAATGAAGTAGAAAATGCTGCTAAAAGAGCAAATATTCATGATGTGATAATTTCATTACCTGATAAATATAATACTAAAGTAGGAGAAAGAGGATTAATGTTATCCGGAGGTGAAAAACAAAGGGTCGCATTAGCCAGAACTATTTTAAAAGATCCTCCAATCTTATTCTTTGATGAAGCTACTTCAGCATTAGATATACATACCGAACAATCTTTACTTTCTAATATTAAAAATATATTACAATCAAGTCAAAAAACTAGTATTTTTGTTGCACATCGGTTAAGATCAATCGCTGATGCTGGTATGTATTATTATCTTTTCTTGTAGTTATATAATTTATTTCATCACACGCGCGATCTTGCAATTATGTAAATTTACTAATCTTATTTTATTAGATGAAATCTTTGTATTACGTAATGGAGTCATTACAGAACGTGGAAATCATGATAAATTATTACAAAAAGAAGGTGGTTTATATAATAATATGTGGTTCACCCAAGAAATGGCCGAATTAAAGGAAGAAAATAATTAATTAAAAATATATTATATTATAATTTTTTAATTTGTTATTGGGTTTATATTTATTATATTTATTTATTTATAGTATTATTATATTAGATTTAAATAATAATAATAAATACAATTAAGAAGTTAATACTATATTTTTATTCTTTAACTAAATAACTAATCCTCGATGCATGCATATATGTATTGACATTTTATTTTTCATCGGGAAAAATCACAAAAATTTTCTTCCAAAATTCCAATCAATATTATTACTATAATTATCACTATTATTCATTTATGTAATTATTTAATTAATCAAATATTTTATATGAAATTTTAATTTAATTATTATTTTTGATTTTTATTTTAACAATTTTAATTTGATTTTTTACTGTTTTATTTTTTTCATTTTTTTTAAAACCGTTATGATAAATAAAATTCCGAATTTTCCTAGTCAGCCACATCAGCCAATTGGTAACACAACAGTGCCAGCTTAAAATACTCGATTTTTTTTTTTTTATTTTTGTTATTCTCTTATTATAAAAAAATGGCATTTAAGTTTCTCGACAAGTTATCTACAGATTTTACTGAACTCTTAAACGATAAAGAAGATTATAATGTAATTATTGATATTGATAAAGATGAAAATAAGAAAACTTTCACGGCTCACTCGGCAGTATTACGATATCGTTCATCCTATTTCTCTAATGAGTTGGTTAATATTACTCAAAATGAAAATAATATTAAAACAATTTGTAAACCAAATATTTCTGTTGAGAGTTTCGATATCATACTTAGGTATAAATTTATTTAAATTTATTTAAAAGTTGAAATAGCTAATAATATATTATTATTAATATATATTATTTTAGATACATTTATGGTGGAATTGTAGACCTTGTGAATGCCGAATCCAAATTCATTTTTGACCTAATGATTCTCGCTGGTGAATTTGAGTTTGAAGAATTATTTAAACAAATAGAAATCCATCTCACTGAAACCAAAGCTCCTTGGTTGCATTCCCATTTTTCTTTAATTTATCATACAATCATTAAACAAAATAATAATAAATTTAAATTATTGGAAAATTTTTGCAACGATGTTATTGCAAAAGATCCAAATATTATTTTTGATTCTGAGGATTTTAATTCACTTTCTGAATCTGCATTTGTATCAATTATTAAAATGGATAATTTACAAATGGAGGAAATAAAAATTTGGGATAAAGTTATTCAATGGGGAATCAATAAAAATTCCAAATTACCTTCCAAACTTGAAGAATGGAATAATGAAGATTTCATGAAATTGAAAATTACTTTACAAAACTGTTTACCTCACATTCGTTATTTTCAAATATCCAGTGAAGATCTTTTATATAAAGTAAAACCTTATATGGAAATTTTTAATAAACAACTTTTAGATGATCTGCTTGTACATTTAATACTTCCTAATAAACCCATTGAATCAATAATTTTACCACCAAGAACAATTTCTATTCCAGAATTACCATCTCGAATACAAAAACATTCCAAACATTCCACTATAATTATAGATGATCATGCAGCTGAAATCTCTTCATGGATTGATCGTAAAGATAAAATATATTCTTTAAATAATATACCATATAAATTTCAACTAATATTGCGAGGAAGTAGGGACGGATTTGATCCTAAAACTTTTTGGAACATGTGCCACGGACATGCTAATACAGTGACAATTTTAAAAATTAAAGATACAGATGAAATCCTTGGAGGATTTAATCCTTTAGAATGGGATAAAACAAAAGAAGAAAATACTTGGGTGGAAACCAAAGACAGTTTTATTTTTTCATTGAAGAATGGGAATATACAAAATTCAATTCTTAGTCGAGTAATAAATGAAGATAATGCTATTTGTTATATGGGCTCCGAAGATCAAGTTCAATATGGCATATGTTTTGGAAATGATGAGCTTTTAATGGGAACACATGTGTCCGATTTTACTAAAGATAAAGAAAGTTGGTGTACTTTGACAAAATCTGATTATGAAAAATGTATTAGAACAACAGGTGATGAATTTTCAATAAAAGATTATGAAGTATTCAAAGTTGTTAGAAAATAAATTTAAACAATTTAGTTTCAACATAATTACAATACCACAGATTCTTTAATATTATTATTTTTATTACTATTATTATTTATTTTTATCTTATCATTATTATATAAACGGATAATATAGTAAATATTATTATTTATTTTTTAACAAGTACGTTCAAATACCGAGTCAATCATTATATAAAGTATTACGCATTAGAGATAAAAGATAAAAATGTTTTTATTCAGGTAGCTAAGTACAAATTGTACAAATGGCTTTATTATAGTTTTTATTAATCTTTAAATGCAAATTGAAAATAAAGTAAAATTATTTTTTAACGTATGTTTTATTTTCACATGTGAAGATCGACTGAAAAGATATGGATTATTGATTATTTTTAAATTGGAAACGTTATGTATGGATTGAATTGATCAACTATAACTAAACATAATTGCTCACATAATTAAAACTCCATCACAGAGAGCTCGGAGAAAAATTTCCAGGGTGCCATTTAAATTCCTATTAATCTGAAGTTCACTCCTATCACATTTAAATACTTTATTTCCACCTAAATTTCTCTTGATATATTCACAATTACTACAAGTTTCACCCGTATAAGCTTTAGATACAGAAGTTATTACAATTTTATCAAGTTCTTCTGCTTTAGATATCAATTTATTCCAAAATTTAGCATCATATTTCTATTTGTCTTACTAGCAATTTTTCTTTATTGTCTTTTAGACATATGTTTACTATTAAATTTTGGTACGAAAATTATGTCAAAAGTCTGGGTTAACCATGGTGCAATTTTTTTATGCACTTTATTTCACTAAATTTATAATGCATCTCCTCACACATGCATTTAATAGATTACATTTTTTTAATGGTACTTTAGTGATGTGTGAAATGAAGGTATCAAGAGCAAAACCTAGGTAAAAATACAATTTATATCCTTACCATCAATGTTTCCATTAGTACTCCTAATGAATTGACCTCCAAATCAAATGAATCAAAATTTCATATGAAATTTAATATATGGATTACAACCCATTATGTTTTTATAATAGTATGCAAGTCATATGCAAGTTAATGAGTCAACTCTTTTGGAGCTCTAGTTTCAATGGCCAATTGTAAAGTAAGAAAAGTGCAAACTCCGGGATCACATGAATTTCTTTCACTTGGTTCTTGCAGATAGACTTTACATGTACCCGTATAAATGTCCAACATTCTGATTTCTTTTCATACATTAATTTCAAATTTATTTTAATTTGATCTTTCTTATTTCACCAATTTATTATTATTTTTCCAAAATTCATAATGAAATGGTGATTTTATTTCATGCTGTGGATGTTTGGAATTAATAACAAGAAGATAAAAGTCTAATATAAAAATAAAGTGAATTCACAACAATATTGAACACAAATAGTAATTGTTTTATAATTATTTTTTTAGATTTGAAATGCAAAATAAGAGTTTGATCTTTATGTTGTTGTTGTTTCCACTAGTCAAATGAAGAAAAATGAACAAAATTTTTGAAACAAATAGTAAAGAAATATGCAAATAGACAGAGAAATTTGTGGATAATTTATAAATAGGGAGGGAGATTTGTGGATGATACACAAATAGGTTAAGCTAATTTGTACCAATTTTTTAATCATTCAACATGTGTTCTTTCCATTTTTTGTAATAACTTCATCTTTACTTATATAGAATTTGAAATAGCAATACATCTTATGGAATCCCATCCATAAAGACCTATTCTCTTGTACAGTATGTTTAATCTTTAATTAGAAAAGCATTCTAAAGTAAATTACTTTGCATTTCTATAATTCAAGCCACTACTATGTTGTAAACCAATCCAGCACAATTATACATTTTCTGTTAATCTGTTTTTAATTTTATTTTTTCTATTATTTTAATTATATTATTTATTTGATTTGTAATTCTTAATTATATGAGTATACTTTATTAATTTAATAAATAAAAATTACAAAAAATAAATTACATAGAATATGATAAAGATGTCTAAACTAAGCAATATCTGGATAATCACTAATTTAATATATCTCACTTACCCATTGTTACTATTTTTTTGTTTTTTTTTATATATATACATTTTTTCTTGTCATTGCCTTTCCCATTTTTCTTACCTTTGTCCTTAGAATATTAATAATTATTGATATTTATATATATTTATTTGTCACCTACCTTACTTATTATTACCTATTCACTTATCCTGTGATCCTATTTTCAAATTTGCCCTTGTTATATATCTCTTTTTGAAATCACCCCAGTAAAATCCTTGAAATTCTTATCCTAAATTTTAATTAAATTTATAACTACAGTTGATCCTCTCTACAGTCACCTTCTATATAATTACTCCTTTCTTAAATCACACTTGTATCCAGTTCCAAATTTTTTACATATAAAATTTCTCCTTTTTAGTCACAGTATTATATATAAGTATAATCACATCAATAGTGAATCCTGATATTATATAAATATTTAGTAATTTCCTCTTATACAATCACAGGTTTTTTGTGTAATTGTAAAATCACAAAATTTATATAATCACAAAATGTATGCAGTATGCGCAGTACATCAGTATTATTTTAACAATGGTATGATCATCTAGATTATCTATTTATCAAAAATAAAAAACAAATTTGTTCTACTATTAGCATTGATTTAAAAAAAGAAATATATAAATATATGTTGGCAAATCCTAACTTGAATCAAGTTACTATTGCATTATTTTTAATACCAAATATAATGAATTAAATATTAATCAAACAACTATTGAAAAAATCAAGAAAAATAATTAACAACACTTTCTAATTCTGTCACCTCCTATACATTTTGACAATGTTCTGTTCAATTTCCTGAACTAGATAAAGCAATAAAAATTTGAACATCCCAAGCAATAGTAGTAGGACTTCCTCTATCTGATACAATATTACAAGAAAAAAGTTTAGAGTTTTCTAGGATGTTGAATATAGAAGATAAATTAAAATTTGCAAATGGTTGGATATATAGATTCAAATTAAAAAATAAACTACAAAAATTTAATTTTTTGTGCATCACTTAAAACACTTCCAGAAGAATGTACAAGATTATGTATGATTTTAACTAAATATAGTAAGGATAATATTTATAATGCTAATGAAACAGGACTTTTTTTTCAAATGGAACCAAACCAAACACTTAGTACAAAAGTAATTGCAGGTCAAAAAAAAAGTAATTATTTAAAAAATTTTAAATTTTTAAATTTATTTATTTTTTTAAAATTTATTTTATTTTTTATTTAATTTAATTAATAATTATACTGCACCACCTGATTTGACATTGTTTACATATAGTATAACTAATTTAAAGATTTATTTATTGTAATTTTATAGGATAAAAGTAGATTATCTATTTTTTTGTACAAATGCTTCAGGTTCTTATAAATTTAAACCACTTGTAATTGGAAAGTCACTTAATCCTCACTGCTTTAAAAATTTCAACAAATCAGTTCTTCCTGTTATTTATCATACTAATTCTAAAGCATGGATGTGTGCAGATACATTTGTTGATTGGCTTAATTATATTAACAATTATTTTCATACAATGAATAGAAAAATTATGTTTTTTATTAATAATGCAGGTTCTTATTTTAATGTAAAAAGATTAGAAAAAGAAGATTCTGATATTTCCAGTAAAGGTGAATCTGAAGATGAACAAGAATCAAGACAGAATAACAATAATAAAAGGACAATTAAAAACAATTCAAAAAGAATATCCAAGCTTTTCAATATTAAGCTTATTTACCTTCTACCTAATACAACAGCTCATTTGTAACCTATGCATACAGGGATTATTTATAGCTTTAAAGCAAAATACAATAAAGAATTTTGTAAAAAGTTAATTCAACAATTTGACTCTGGAATAGATCATAAAAAGTAAGTTTATTTTTAATTTATTATTGAAATTTTTATTAAATTTATTTGTTTCTGTTTTATTAATTTTTATTTTTATTTAATTATAGAAATAAGTTAAATATTAAAGATGCAATTGATTATATAGCTGAAGGGTGGAATAATGTTACTCAAAATTCTATTCAAAACTGTTGGATTAAAACTGGCATACTTTCATTTCAGAAACAACTTCAAAAAATGGTGAAAAAACAATTTATTTTTAATTAATTAATAATAATATTCTTACTGAAGAAAATCTTACTGAAGAACAAATTATTAATTTAATACAATCTGAAGAAAATGAAGAAGAAAGTGATAGTGATGATGAAGAAATACCTCCAGTGTTAATTAAAAATGTAGTTAATAGATTGAAAACTTTTATTAAATATTTTGAACAACAAAATAATAATTCTGAATTTAATATTGATGATTTGAGAATTTTTTGAAAATACTTACAAATATCTAAACTATTGAATTTAATTTAAAAAGTCAACAATCACTTGATAATTTTTTAATATTTGATGTTAATAATTTTTTATCAATTAAAATACATTTATAATAAAAATGTTTTACAATATCTAATTTTTTATAATTACACTTTTATAAAATTATATATATATGTGACTATATAAATAAAACTTCTTTATAAAAACACCTCTCTACAATTATACCATTAGGTGGTTCCAAGTAGTGTGATTATAGAGGAGGTCAATTGTATATGGATATAGTTGGTTTATACCCTAAAATTTCAAGAGGTAATTGACTATATATTGTTTCACAAAAAAAAAGATAGGACAAATTTGTTTGACTATAGTGAAATTTGTGATTTCAGTTTATAATTTTTTGAGTTTTAAATATGTATAATGAAAAAAGAAATAAGTATCTATCCTTCAAACAAATATATAATTTTCAAAACTCCAAGGCAAATATGAAAATATATGATTATTAAAGGAGTGTATTCTCTTATATACCAATTAGCTTATACAAAAAAACCTGAAGCATTTCCCATTCCACATCAATATAAAGTCAAAACAATTTATGGAAAAAAAAGATATTAGGTCAAATGTTCAATTGAATATGTTGATAAAAAGCCTCCATTCAATATCCAATTTGGTGAAAATATGAAATTTAATATTTGCTCAGCAAATTCTTCAACAGGAGCAGCAAATAAATATATTAAAGTAAATAATATTATTTATTAAATAATTTATTTTTATATAATGTATTAATTTTATATTTTTATAGTATTACTTTTTCTTAAGAAAAAATAAAACTCTTACAGAAAAAGATCTTAATAAAATTAATCAAGATGCAATAACCACAAGTAAGATATCAGGTGTTTAACTTTTTGGATTACAATTGAAGACAGTTAAATTTGTTTAAAAAATTCTTTCAGGAAAAGATCATAATATAAATCCTTTTGATGATCTTAGTAAATCTATCAAATGAAGACATATTTTACAAATTGCAAAATGGATGTATGATGATATTGAACAAAATAAAGAGAATTTATTTTATCCAAAAGACAATATTCATATTAAGCAAATTAAATTAAAAATTAATGAGAAAATATATAATATCAATTATGGAAAATTTAACAAAGAAAACAATATAATATTAAAATATGCAATTGTTAAATCTCTGAATTGTGGAAAAATTTCAAGAGATACATATAGATCTTTAGCATATATTAATCAAAATTTACCACATGAAAAAGTAATATCAATTTTTCAAAAAAAAATTAATGAATTAGTATCAAAAAATATTTCAATTTCACTTGTAAATATTTATTAATCAACTACCTTTGAACCAATTACTAGCCAACCACATATTACTGAACCTAAAATAATTCGAAATGTTATGAATTATATTGGAAAAGATGGTCAAAGGAGAATTACTGATATTTTAAATTATATTATTCCCAAATATGTTGAGCAAGGTATTCTTATTCCAAATCAACCAACACTTAAATTACATATTTCAGGAGATAGAAAAAATGTAAAAAGAAAAGTTAAACATATTATAATTAAGTAGAATTACTTAATAATATAGAAAAATTATATAAATACTATTTTGTCTTCCATTTTATTTTGTTTTCAAAACTATATGAAATTTAATTTTAAATATAAGTATAAGTACAACTTATCTACTATTGAAGTAAAGTTTTTGAGAGAAATTGGGATACATTCATATTTTAATGATTTTGTCAAATCTTATTTCTTCTTTTTGACTTATCAAATTGTTTGTATGCAAAATAGTCTATTATAGTAATTCAAAATATTTTGGAATCCAAAAGTTAAAATAGTTTTTCATAGAAGTCAAAATTATTTTACTTAAAATCCAAAGGTTTTTAACCACCCAAATAAATTTTTTAATTGAAAATACATTAAACTAGATATTTTTACTTCCAAATATAGAATAGATATTCCAAAAATCTCAAAAAGTAGAATATCTCAAAAATTAGAAATCAATTTTGGAAACATATATAGTTTATATTTTCTTGTATTTTTTTTCTTTTTGTCTTGTCTTCATTTTCATCTGTATCTGAATAAATCAAATCAAATAATGATTATAATTTATATACTAGATAAAAAATCAATTGATATTTTTAAAAAGATACAATTTAATATAAAAAAATAAAATATTTACCTGACAGAATACTTTTAGCAGATGAAACTATATTGATGAAGAGATTATCTTAAAATAGTTTTTATTTGTTTATTGAATTGTCTTTTATTATCACTGGTCAAAAATTTATGAATACTATACCTATCAGATACCAGATAGGAATAGTATTTATAAATTTTTGACCAGTGCATTGAACTTGAAGATAAACTTGAGAAAATCAAAGGTAAACTGCCAGAGCTTGCCTCTGTGGGAAACAATTCATTTGACCATTCTACAACTTTCACTAGTCAAATACAAAAGAATCACTATACCAAATGATAATTTCTATATTATAGATCAGCTAAAAATTGGTAAAAATTGACCATTTTATTATATCCTATATTATAAATTAACTAAATTAGAATTTTTTTTCAGTATAGCAATTCTTTGTATTTGACCTGTGTTTTAGCAGGAAACACAATTTGGATCTTGAAATTTTCAATGTCTGAAATAAAGTTGAACTCTGAAAGGAGATATTTATATTTAAAACTTGGGACTCTGACATGGTAGTGTAATAAAGAAATGATTTCTGAATATAAACTTGATATTATAAGATCAGTGTCTTAAAGAAATTTTAGAAGATTATATTTTGTCTTTCTGTTCTAAAAGTTTATGCTGGTTAAAATTCTATAAATGCTATTCTTTAATTTGTAGAGCAGGCAAATTTGCCTATTAACATAAATTATATTTATAAATATTTTAATGAAATTTTAAATTTTAATTTTATCTTATTAACTTTATTATAAAAGTTTTTTAAAATTACTAAAGAACTTTTGAGAACAAATTTTTAAATTCTTTGTTCAAAAATTTTTGTTATGAATTTTTCTAGAAGGGTTTTTTAAAATTATTTATATTTTTGATATAAAAAAATATCTATCTCTAATACAAGTTTTAATTTTTACAAAAATCATAATAATAAAAATTAGTATCTATTTTATAATCAATTATATTGTATTGAGAATAATATATTTAAAATTAATATTTAAAAAGTTCTATTAAGAAATTGTTAATTATTTTTTTTTAAATAAAAAATTTTAAATTATATATTTTTAATTTATTAATAGTTTCAATATTTTTATATAACTTAAATCTTTGGTTTTAAATACCATTGAAAAAATTTTCATTTAAATATTTTAAATATTTAAAAATATATATTAATAACAAATTTATAGTATTTAAGTAAGCAAATTTGCCTACTAAAGTTTACAGAATAAGGAATATTTATCTGATATTAGATAGGTGACAGATTGGTCTCAAATATCTTACCCTTATTGGATATTCAATATGCCATAGTTATAGCTGGTATAAATAAAAGTAGTAAAATTATTTTATTCTTATCAGGTACCTGATAAGGGTTAAATATTTGAAACCAATCTGTCACCTATCTGGTATCAGATAAATGTAATATTTATAGAATTTAAACCAGTGTTGAATGCTTTAAAAGCAAAAACAACATAATATTATTATTATATAAAAAATAAAATACAATTTAAAAGTATTTATATTATATTTATATTTTGAAGTAATAAAATTTTATTTTCATTTGTATCATAGAAACTTACTGTATTTATATTTACAAACAAAAATGTATTTATTATTTAATATATTAATTGTTGTTTGTTTTAGTTTATAGTTGTGAAAAGGTAATTTTTGTTTAATGAATTTGTAATATTTTAATCATTTTTTTGACTATTTTTTAGACAATTTTTATTCAATTTTGATTATTTGAACCAAATATGCACAAAAAATCTTAATTTATATAGTTAAGATTGAAATGTCTTGTGTGTTTCCAGGAAATTTTAGTGATTGCTTTGAAACACCTATAAAAATTATTTCTTTAACATTAATGCCTGAAATAGTAATTAAAAATCTCTAATCCTTTTATTTGGATTTCTTTTTATGTGACCTGGCACAAGTTAAATACAAAAGAATAGCCATACTGAGAAGGAATTTTAATTTTAGCTGATTTATAATATAGGATACAATAGGATGATCAATTTTTAGCTGATTTAGCTGATTTATAATATAAGAATCACTATTTGAGTGATTCTTTTGTATTTGATTAGTGTGGTATAATGAAGGATCAAGTCATCGATCTGTTATTTTTTAACAAAAATAAATTCTTTGACTTTTGTCCATTGATGCTAAGTGGAATGACAGGGGTTGGATAAGTTCAAATGTGCATTTTGTTTTTTTAGATGTTCTATTGTAGAATGTTTCTAAAGCAAGGCTCTTTACAAGGTTAGATTCTTATATTTCTTTATTCTTTTAATTATATATGATATTTTTCCGATTTTTTTTTTCACATCCGTAATTTTATTTTTTGACTACTCTTCGAATACTTCAAGTATAAATTAATATATGGGTAACTTACCTTTTCAGCATTGTTAAATATTGTTTATTTCATAGGTTAGGAAATGGGTCATTTATCCTTATTTGAGTTTGTTAACTTGTTGGTGTTTGTGTTTTTTATATTTAGTTTTGGAGATATAGTTATAACCTGAAAATAGTCATAACTTACACCCTCCCTATTAGAAATAGTTCTTAAACTCTTTTATTAATAGTAATATTCTTAAATATGTAATCTCTTGTTCACTCGAGCATTTAGTATACATGATTTGATAAAAAATAATTAATTTGAAGAAAGAATAATTTTCTCCGTAGATTTGTGCATACAATATACAGTAGTACTGTCCTTTCTTAGATTATAACTTTAATATTATAAAACAAGTATCATGTTAATTGTTAAATAATATATCTCTTTTTAGTTGATTAATAGAATATATATAAAATAAAAATTTAAATATGACAGAGAAGGATTGCTTAAAAATAATCCAAAATGGTATTTGACATATCAATATGTTTTTATCCCGCTTCTTTAATTTGATCGTAAATAATCATTATTGTGAATTCATTCTGAAACAACGAGAATGAACGAATTGAAAGAAATAAAAAAATAAAAGAAATAAAAGAAACAGAAGATGAAGCACGGTAGGCATATTGTTACATTATATTCATTATACTTTATTTAAAATCAATATAATTTATTACTAATAATAAATTACATATTTTAAATACATTTCCTATTCAATTATAAACATTTATATTACAGTGAGCAAGTATTAGATTCATTATAATTGAATTCAATGTTTCTAACTAATTCAATATCAAATAGCACTTCTCAATTATAAATCAATTCTATGCACGACATATTAGTTTGTAATTATAATTATTGTTCAATTTTAACACCTTTTGGATTTATTATAAATTAATATATATATTATATTACAGTTTGTAAGTATTTAGATTCATAATAATTGAAATATATTCAATTATAAATCAATATTACAAACCAATTCAATATTGAAATAACACCTTTCTAATCAATTATAATCAATTGTATACACATTATATTACAGTTGGTGAGTATTTAGGTTCATAATAATTGAAATATCAAATAATATTTCTTTACTTAATTATTAATCAATAATATTTTTTATAGATTCAAAAGTGTAGTGACTGTTATCAAGATATACTGGAATATGTGGATGTCATTCATGTACTGTCAAATAATTTCAAAATGAATTTGAGAAATTGATAAATTTATTAGCAAATACAAACCAAATGCAAATTTAAATGTCAAGAAATTATTGAATGGATTCCATTTGACAGATTTGCAAATGTCAAAAACTGTGCTAAGGAGTTTTGGCACAGTATACAGAGCAAATGGCTTGAGATTGTATTTTATATGGTGAATAGTTATGAAGGAAAAAACCAGAGAATAAAATGTTTTGCTTAAAAAGCATTGATTATTCCACAAATAAAAATGAATTTGTACAAGCAGTAAATATTTCATTTCATTATTTTAAATATATAACAATTCTATTTTATGCCAATAAATGTTTTAGATTTAAGTTTCGAAGTAAAAAGGAAATTTCAAGATATCATTAAAAATCCAATAAAAAGAATATATATCTGATAGTTATTAGATATGCAAAACATGGTAGTCTTCAAAAACTGTTGAATCAAAAGTTTAAAGAATTGTCTTGGAATAAAAAATCTTCTATTTTGTAAATAACTACAATATCCACGAAATTGGTTTATTTTATTATGGTAATGAGTTAATCAAACTTTAACTAAGTGCTATATTACTGATTTTGAATGTGCAACCAGTTACAGAAAATGACCTGTAAAAATTTATGGTAGTGTAATTCTATTTTTTATGACGTCTGAGACTATACGTGTTGTCCAAATTACTCAGAATTTGAGATTTGGGGCTATATAAATAATTTGGGATTTTGCATTTGGATTTTGGATTTTGGATTTTGGATTTTGGATTTTGGATTTTTGAAAAATAATTTGGGCCGCATATGATAGAGGAGAATACACTCAATCATCTGAATTTATTCTTTTATAAGTTCTAACTGGTTATCTATCGTACCTGAAAATTGAACCTTTCAATTGTCCAACTGCTAATATCAACTTAAAATATCTTTTTTTGAAGATAAGCTGCAAATGAATAGAACAAGAATTTTATTAAATATGATCTAAATGAGATACATTCTGAAGCAATATAAACAAGTAGGCTTATATCTAAACTCACAAAGTCTAAATATGATGAATGTGATACATCGAGTTAAGTATATTTTGTAAGAAATGAATTTATTTGCTTTTTTTTAGAATTTGCAGTCAGACCTCTCTATAATCACATTATTGGGACCATAGTAACTTTTAAAAAATGAATTATGCTTATGTAGAGTTTTTTTCTATATGTTCATAGTAATAGGTTTTAAAATAGGTATTCTTATACGGAGAATTTTTACTTAATGTTTGTTTTATAGAGGGGTGACTATAGAGGGGTCTGACTGTATATTAATTATTTATTTAAATTCAAGACAGGATTTTTTTAATTCCTGACAATATAATTGGAAATTTTTTTTTTATTTTTTATTTTTGTCTAATTTAATTTAAACGTAAATGTAGAATTTAATAGGTATCTTTTAGTTTTAAATATTCTATTTTTATATTTTTATATTTTTATATTTTAATATTTTTTATATTTTTATATCTTTATATTATTATTATGTTATTTGATCACTGAAATTATAGAATTATATTAATTTCATTTCTATCTATTTCAGAAGGAGAGAACATCAATATTTACCCTCCATTAATAAAATATATATAACATAATATGTTGCATAATAATTTCTTTTATTTTATTATTATCAAATAACTTTAAATAATAATTGCTATTAATCAAAGAATAAACATTTTGTACATATTCAGAATAACATGTATTATGGGTGGGTGAAAATAAATTTTGAAATTTTAAAATACCAGTAGAGTTATTTAACTTGAAATAAATAAAATACCTTAAAATTAGATGGATTTTATAGGTTTAAAGAATATAATCTAATGCATATTTGTATAAATTTAGAGACTTTTAGCTGGCCCTTTTATTAAGCAAAAACATCATTATAGTTTTTTTTAATTAATTTTGTAATTGTATAATTTTATCGCATATGCAGATCGGCGATTAATAACTTTTAGGCTTTGCAACTTTAACCAATTTGATCATTCTTTTTACTCTGAATTAATTTTCTGTTTCTTTACTCTTTCTTTACTTCTTCAACTCTCCCACAAACATTTTTTGATAAGTCATCAAACATTGTATTTAGTAAAATTTTTGAATTATGATCTGTCATTTTTCTTTTAATGATGGAAATTTGACCAAATTCTATTGAATATTCTTCTCATTTTTAAAAAATTGTTTGTAACTTTTAATTTTGACTATAAAGCTTCCTTTTAAGTTATAAGAAAAAACATTTCATTGTTTACGCTATAGCATAAAAGTACTAATACTTCATAATATGTATAATCATCAACACAGCCATAATTCAGCTCGTTGTAAAAGTTCCAATAAACCTTCTCCATTTTAAATGCATAATATTATTGATTACCAAAACTAATGGTTAGCCACGTCTTTTTTGAATACATATCAACAAGTTCTAACACATTTTCTACATCAAGCAACACGGAACCTATTAGAAATTTATAATTTAGACTACATTTATTACTTTCTTTATGAATAAATAGATAAAATAATTTAAATAACAATTATTACCTCTTTCAGGAGTTTCTTTAGCAAACAATTGAACTACGTAATCTTCCTAAAAGTAGTATACTTTAATGCTTAATTTTAAATATTTCACTATCATAGTAAGCCTCGGTAAACACAACTCCATAATGTTTAACTTTATCCATATCAATTGACTTTTTCCACCCATAAGCAAATAATATTTTCCAGCAATGAAAACAATACAAATACATAAATAATAAATAAATAAAATTATGGTAATTAAAAATTTCTTCAATAAATTCCTCCAGCAGACGGGAAATTCAATAACTTTAAGTTGATAATATTTATTATTATTTTTGTTATTGATAGCTTTAAAATAGCTAAGGGAGTTGGCTAATATTATTCAAAATGAAAATAATAAAAATAATAACCAAATATTTTAGCTGAGAGTTTTGATATTATCTTTAAGTATAGTAATATTTTTATGGTGAAATTGTAGATCCAAAGCTTCTTGGTTACGTACACACTACACTTTAATTGATGCTAAAGCTGAAATTTCTTCATAAAGATACAACACATCCTTTAAATAATATCCCCTATGAATTTTAACTAATATTTCGAGATAGCATTCCAAAAATTTTTGGAAGCCATGCTAAATACAGTGCGGTGACAACTTTAGATACAGAATCCTTTACTTTATAATGGGACAAAACAAGGGAAAAAACCTGCTTGGATGAAACCAAAGATAGTTTTATTTTTCATTGAAAAATATTCAATTCTTAGTCGAGTAAAGAATGAAATACAAAAATATTCTTTATATTGGTTCTAAATGTCAAGCATGGCATATATTTAAGAAGTTACGAGCTTTAATAAACACAAGAGCGAGCTTTACTCAAGATAAAGAAAGTTGGTGTAATCCAGATGGTATTAATTATAAAAGGAATATTAGAACAACAGTTGATTATATTTCGATAGTGGATTATGAAGTATTCAAAATTGTCTTTAAAAATTTTAGTTTCAACCTATAACAATTATAAGCAGATAATATATAAATATTATATTTATTTATTTATATTTATTGTTTCAACGAACTAATAAGAAGGCCAAGCCCACTAAAAATAATACAATAATTAATACAGTTCAGGATAAAAATGTTTATTTTTGTGGCTAAGTAAAGTAAATGTTTTTTTTTATTTTTCACACGCACATGAGGTGTCGAAGATCAATAAATGGGTTTTTTTTTTCACTTTTGAATCCACGAATTTCTAATAGACTCACCAGAAATTCTGTTATAAAATTTATAAATAATAATAATAATAAATTTTCAAACAACTTCAATTATAACTACAACAGTTTTCATAACTACCATCATAACCACAATTATTACAATAATATTAATAAAAATAATAAAAATATTTTTAATTATAAAAATTTAAAGTTAACATTTAAATATTATTATTCCACAATGATTGAAATTCCTGCAGGAAAAATTTCTGATTTACAAAATGGACAACGGTATTTATATTTTTCATTGATAATAATTTTATATTTTATGTATTTTCAAGGTGAATAATAATATAATTATTATTGTTTTAAATATTTTTAGTAAAGAAATTGCATTTGATAATTTCAAAGTTCTTTTATTCAAAGTTCATGGTCAATTATATGCAACTTCTCATAAATGTACACATTATGGGGTAAGCTGACTTTTTTTTAAATCTATGAAAATACCGAATATTATTTTGATTTATAATAATACTTTAAATAATAAATAGGCACCTTTAATGACTGGAGTTTTCTCAAGTGATGGACGTTTGACTTGGTAAATAATAATTAAATTAAATTATTTGTTGTTTATTAATTATTTAAAATATTTTATTCTTAAAGTCCTTGGCATGGTGCTTGTTTCGATGTTGTTACTGGAGACATTGAAGATTCTCCAGCATTAGATCATCTTCAAAAATATAAAGTAAATATATCAGATTTATATTTTATATTAGTTTGTAAATTTATATTTTTTATACTGAAAATGTTACAAATATATATATAAATATTTATTTATTTATTTATTTATTTATATTTGCTTGAAACAGATTATTATAAAGGGAGAAGATGTCTATGTAGAAGCGAAAGAAGAAGGTAATAATAATAATATAATCATTATTAAAATTTTATAATTATTATTGAATTATTATTGATTATTATTAAATATTAGATCTCAAAGCAGCTAGGAGAATTACAAAATGTAATATCAAAGAATCGCCACCATCTGATACTAATAATGTTGTTTTAATTATTGGTGGTGGTGCTGCTGGTAATGCTGCAGCTGAAAAGCTTCGAGAGGTAAAAATATTAATATATTATTTTATGTCACCTAATTAATTAATGATTAATTGATTTATATTGATTTAGGATGGATTTGATGGAAAGATCATTGTAGTTAGTCGTGAACCACATTTACCAATTGACAGGTAAATTATTAATTATATGAAATTAAACTATATAAATTATATAAATAATATGATAAGGATTTAAATTATGTAATTTTCACATTTTTAACATTTTATTATATTATTAGACCAAAACTTAGTAAATCCCTTGGAATGCGTCTTGAAAGAATAGAAATCAGAAATAAAGAATTTTATGATGGATTATTTATTACTTTTAAATTAGGAACGGTCAGTATTAACAATAGAATTAGTAATAGATAATAAATCACATAATATCATTATTCTTTTAATTATTTTTATTTTCAAATCAAAATATTTTTAGACTGTTACCGCGGTAGATACTGTAAATAAAATTGTTATTCTTAATAATAATGAAAAATTGAAATATAATAAACTTATTATCGCTACTGGAGCTGATGTAAGTTAAATTTATTATATTTTTATTGTTTGTTTGTATCTTATTGTTATCAATAACAATATCTTTAATAATATTATTTATGGAATGGAATTAATTATTTCATTTGATTAGCCACGATCTATTCCAGTTCCAGGAATTGAATTTAGTAATGTCTTTTTTCTTCGTACATATAGTGATTATGAAAAAATTGAGAACGGTAAAAATTTTTAAATATATTTGTGATATATTCTTTGTATAAATGTAATGAAACATATAAATTATTAACTAATAAAGTAATATTTATAATAAATTATTTTTTCAGCTGTTGGAAAAAAAGAAAGAAAAGATTTAGTAATTATTGGATCATCATTTATTGGAATGGAAGTTGCAGCCATGTGTACTAAAAAAGCTAATGTATCAGTTATTGGAATGGAAAAGGTTTGAATAATTATTTTATTTATTTTGTGAAATATTAATGTTTATATTTGTTTTATATGTGTGTATTTATTTATGTGCATTGTTGTTGATTGGATCAGGTTCCATTTGAAAGAATTCTTGGACATGAAATAGGAGCAGCACTTAAAAAATTGTATGAATCAAATGGTGTTAAATTTTATTTACAGGCAGATGTAAAAGAAATTCAACCTTCTGGTAATTCTTTTTATGCTATATATTGTTAATATGTTTATATGTTTGTTATGTAATGTATTTATTTATATGTTATGTATTATTAGAAACCGATCCGACCAGAGCAGGATCAGTGTTATTAGACGGTGGAAAGAAAATATATGCAGATTTTATTGTTATGGGAACAGGTGTAAAACCAGCAACTGTATGTGTGTTATCTGTATATTGAATATTGAATATTGAATTTATTGTATTATTTGTATTTAATTTGTGTAACAATCATATATTTTTGTTTCATTTATTATTTAATTTACTGTTTAGGAATTCTTAAAAGATTCTCCTGGATTTAATTTACAAAGAGATGGAAGTCTTAATGTTGATGAACAATTTAAAGTTGAAGGATTGGAAGATGTTTTTGCAATTGGTAAATATTTATTATTACTTTATAATGTTTTATTATTATTGTTATTTAAATTATCATATTATTTATTCAAATATATTTAAGGTGATATTGCAAGATTCCCTTATCATATTACTGGAGAAACACTTCGCATTGAACATTGGGTATTTTCTATTATATTATTAACATTTATTAATTATTTTACATCACTGCGCTGATTATAAATTAATTATTTTACTATCACTCATTATATAGTCATTCGCTGAGAATACCGGAAGAGGAGTTGCAGCAGTTATAACCAATACTAACATCAAACCATTTAAAAAGACTCCATATTTTTGGAGTAATCAATTAGGTAAAGGTATACGTTTTGCAGGTTACGCTAGTAGTTATGATGATATTATTATACAAGGAAGTTTGGAAGAATTAAAATTTGCTGCTTATTATGCTCGTAAGTTATGCTTTATTATTATATATTGTATATTATATATTTGTATATTATCCATAATCTTTATATAAATTTATATTCTATATAATTTAGGTGGAGATAAAATTCTAGCAGTTTGTACAATTTCTAAAGATCCATGGGCTTCTCATTGTTCTGAATTGGTGAGAATAATAATAAAATAATAATAATAATATTTATTTATTTATTTATTTATTAAAATTATTAAGCATAATTATTAATATAGTTGAGACTTGGTAAATTTCCAAGTGCAACTGAAATTAAAAATGGAAAGGTAAATAATTAATTATTATAGTTATTATTTATATATTTTCATAATACAATTATTAAATAATATTTATATATTATATTACATTATTCTATAGGATCCAATTGAAGTTCCTTTGACAGAATAATAATAAATATATTTATCTATCTGTCTATTTATCTATACCTATATGTATATATGCATCTTGTTTATATATTTATTTATTATTATCTACTTATATTTATATCTTTTATATATCTATTTATTTATATCTTTTTTATTATTATTTAAATATTTAAGTATCTATCTAGATATGTTTTATTTAAATAAAATATATATATATAATATTGTAAGAAAGAGAAAGAGAAATAGAGAATTAATTAATTTTAATAACTATTATAATATAGCAAATCCATTGCATTAGCAATCTCAATATTTCTTATATTGTCAAATTATTTAGCATTTAATCTTCTCATTGCAAAGAATACAAAAAACTATAGATCTATAAATTAAAAAGTTAACCTCTTAATAATAATAATAATAATAATAATAATACTTATGCATCTAATTTATCTGTTATTATTCTTGAGTGATGGCTATACTTGTTGTTATTGGTATTACTATTATTCTTGTTATAAGTATTATTGTTGTTGTTGGTATTAGGGTTCAATTGTTTTTCAATTCTTAAAAATTTTATTTCTATATTTAATTGTTTAATAGCCATTTGATATGAAGTTTCTTCCTGAAATTCCACAAACGCACATGCCTGAAATTATTATTATTTTAGATTATCTTAGATTATAATTATATAATAACAGAATTAAATATTTATTAACTACCTTACTCTTGACAATATCCACATTTTTTGATTCTACCAAAATACTTTCCCAGAAAATATTTTAATTCTTGATATTTAGTGTTTCTTGTTATACCATCAATAAAACACCAGAAAATCTTTAATTAAATTAACTTATTATTGTCATATATATTCATTGAATATTATATAAAATATTTGATAATATTTCTCCATTCAGATCCTGATGTGTGTTATTTAATTTTTTTTTATTGGATTAAATAATATGTCGTGTAACTTGATTATGAAATTTGATTGGCTATTTCTAACGGACATTGCAGGTTTGATGTAGAAATACGGACAAAAATAAAAACGTCCTCCGCTATGCTTCGGATAATTATTAAATATTGATGATTTGATTATTAGCAAAATTATTAGCAAAATAAACTATATTTAAATCTCTTTGTAATTCAATTAATTCATCTCGGTTTTTATTAACTCATTCAAATTGTGATTTAATTATATCTTGAATTTGAGCTTGCTCATAAAAGAAATTAAGATTCCACAACTTTTTCTACCATTTTATTTTGAAATAAATAAATAATAATAATAATACTGATGATAATACTGATAATAATAATAATTGTATTGGGATAATAGGAATGATATAAATAATGAAATAATGATATAATAGTTTATAATAGTCTAAAAGAATTAATATTTGGTTTGATTGATAGAATAACATTTGAGCTTTTTTTAATCAACTTTAATGAACTTTCCAAATAACGAATAAGCAATTTAGTAAATGATATTAAAACAAAAATAATAATTATATTAATCATTGTTAATCTATAACAATAATTCTTTTATTCATTTAGGATTCATACAAAATATTTATGAAAAAATGAGTAATAAATAAATTAATATTTGTATAAATGAAGTTAATAAATGAATAAATTGATATTAAATAAATGAAATAAATTAATTATTAATATTAAATTGATATGTAAACAATAACAATAAAAACCCCATAAATAAGTAAAATAACGAGATTAATTATCAATAAGTAACAGTTAATAAGAACCTCTGTAAACATCTTTCTGAACATATTTCATCCTAAATTTCCTGCTTTCTATTCTGATTGGCCAATGTAAATGAGAATTACTTTTATAAAATTGCCACGCTTCACTAAATTTTAATGAATTCATGATTTCTTCTGAATGTAAATTATAATTTAATCCTCTAATACTAACTCTTTTTAATTTTGGATGATTCTTATCTAACATCATAAAAAATTTAGAATTAATTTGCCTTCCGTCATCAATTTTTAATTTTACCCATGACGAACATCCTTCTGGTCTATTGACAAATGATAACCATCCTTTCTCTGTAACATTTTGTAATCTATCTCGAATATAAAATTTAACTAATGTTGGCATAGATGATAATATTAATAATGCTTTATCTGTGATTGTAGGTGTTTTAACTAATTCTAATTTGGTTATTAGGGATTTTCCAATATTAACAAATGAATAATCATTAATTTGACTAAAATCTCCTATAAATAAATATTCAATATTAGGAAATTTTGATAAAAATGATAAATCACTTATACCATTTATTTTTAAAATTGAAAGGCGACGAAGATTTTCCATTGTTTCATCAGCTTGTAACGCTGATCCTTGAACTGTTTCCGAAAAATATACTGTTGTAAGAGACTACAAATATAAATTATAATATAAAAATAAAAATAATATGTTATGATGATGATTTTTATTATTATTATCGTTGTTGTTGTTGTTGTTGTTGAAGAGAGGGGGAAATAAGTTATTAATTTAAAATATAAATAATAAATGTTATTAATTACCTTTGAATAATGTAAAATATTTAATACATTATTCTCAGCAGGAATATCAATTTTATCCAACTTTTGACAATTTTTAAGCATAACAGATATGGCGGATTTGGAAACTGGTTCACATTGAAAATGTTCAATATCAAAATTACGTAAGTTTGGACAATATTTACCAAATAATTCAACTATATATGATGATGTAAAATCTATTAAAGTAACGGAATTAAGCATTATTCGTATTGCTAATAATGAATTTCCTGACATTCGTATAAATCTGTAATGAATAAGTAATACGGGTTAAATATATAGTTAATACATATATTTAATAATATATAATTAATATCGAATATATATTATTAATATCTTCGGTAATGAGATCTTACTTTTCCCAAATATTCGGAGTCATACAAGGATAATATAATCTAATACTTTTTACATTACCAAGACGCATTATTTCACATAATCCATCATGACTATTATGACTTGATATTTGTGAATCCTCGTTTATATTTGTATCGTCAATTTTAATTTTATTGTTAATGTTGTTATTAATGTTATCGTTGTTAATATTATTGTCAATGCTATCGTCGTTATCGTTAATGGTGTCAATTCTTAGGTTAAAGTTATCGTCTTCGTTATTGTTATTATTATCGTGATTGACGTTATTATTGTTACCACTGCCAGAATCACCAAGTATTCTATTTAATATCATTTGTACTTTGGATTTTTTATTATTATTGTTGTTATCATTATCCCCATCTTCATATATCTTATCCAAAATAGTTTGAGCTCGAGATTTCATTGGTACGGAACTTATTTTATCATAACGATGTTCATATTCAATTAAAGTAAGATTAATTAATCTATCTCCTAAAAGTTCTAATGGTAATTCCCATACTTTATTACTATCATTACTGTCATTATAATTACAATAATTATTATTATTATTGTTATTGTTATTATTATCATCATCATTATTATCATTATTTCGACGACGTTTTTTTTGAGAAAATCGAAAAGCTAATTCTTTAAGGTTCAGACAATAATTAGCAATTAATTTAATTAACTCCACATCAATAAAAATTGGTGGATTTTTATCTAACTCTTCAATTTGAAGTCTGGTTATATATCGACCGTAAGGTAAAAATGTTTTATCATTTTTTAATATATTTTTAAATGTTTTAAGTGATTCGTTCTCAATAAATTTACGAGTTTGCCATATTAAAGGTAATGTCACTCTGGCCCACTGATGACATACAAATGTTAATTCTTTAAGATCGGCTATTGTAAATTCTCCAATTTCTATAATTAATAAATAAATTTCACTAGGAATTTCCTTCATTTTTATTTATTTAATTTATTTATTAATTTCTCTTTTTTGCTTTTGCCTTTGCTTTTGCTTTTTGTTGTTTATGAACGAGTTATGTTTATATATTGCTATATTTATATTGTTATATGTTATTATATTGTCATATATTGTTATATATATTGGTCGTATAGAAGACGAGAAGAAATTCAAAAAAAAAAATATCCTACTGTATATTTATAAATATTTCATTTCGGAGTTGTTGCCATCTAAATATAGAAACTGAATAACTGAATATACCACTTTGTTGCTGCGGAAATGTGTACTGTATTTTACTATTTATATAAACAAAATTATTATTTTGTTTCATCGTGTCATGTGGAACCTTTTTTTATTTAGCCTTAAACAAATGTAATGATATGCATTATTTACATCATAAAATAAAGTACGGAAGCTGGAAGCCGATTTATATGTAATTAACTAAGTATTATTATTACGTAAATCGATAAATCCGATGTGATTTTTTTTTTTTTTATATACTTGAAATTTTCGTCTAGACGTAGATTTCAGCAAAATTTTATCTTTTACGTTTACCTTTAAACATTATAAGTGAACAAAAAGAATGTTATAAATAAAAATATATATTGTCTCCAAATGCATGTAACTCAAAAATGATAATAGCAAAAGAACAATATATTTGGCTAAGTGAAGTGATATATTAAGAAATGGAAGCAACTATAATATATTTATTTATAGTGTAATTTCAAAAAATTTTATTAAATGGGATAAATGTCATTGTATACATAGTTCTTAATTGCTAATATTTGAATTAATAATTTTACCAAGCAAAAAATTGTGAAGCAATTAAAAAATTTGATAATATTTATTGGTGTTTTATAGAATTTTGAGTTTCATTAAAATCGATTTGGATATGAAAAATAAATTTAAAAATAATAATGAAATTACAATCTAATAAATTACAAAACGAAAAGTAGGAAGAAATTTATAACGTAGACTTCTCATTTATTTAAGTCTAATGCTTTAAAATTAGTACTATATTTTTTAATTATTTTATATATCAATTTTCCAAAATTCTAATACTAGATAGAATATAAATTCTTAATCATATTTTTTATTTTATAATTAAGATTTTCTTTTTAAAAATGTAAGAGAATTTGTTGTTGTAAACTAGATTATATTACATTGCATACAAAAAAGGACGCTTTTTAATTTCGACTAAAAAAAAAAATTATTATTATTAGCTGATTATTTTAAAAGTCAGTGACAACACCATTGACTTATGATATTATAATCAACCATGGTTTCAACTGAAATTTGATATGATAAATATTTTTAAGAATAAAAACTTTATTTGTATGGTAATTAAATGTGCAAAAAAAATAATAAATATATTAGATATATCAAATATATCTAACTTCCGAACTTTGTACATAAATTTGTTCGTTAAAATTTATTTTTGAATACTTTATATCTTAGAATAATATTTTATTCAAATACTTCAAATTCTTTACTGTTTAAAAAAAATGATAATAATAATAGAATTAATAAAAATTTACTAAAAAAAAATCGAGTTTTATTTTCAGTTTTTTTTAGTTGACACTTACGTATATGCTGTACAATGAGGACCATTCACAGTACCCGCGAAACTTCTTAACAAAAATTTTTGCGGTAACATCATTCCAGGTGGAACATTTAAAAAAACTTGAACATCTTCGCTTTGAGTACTTGGCATAGGAATTTCTTTACTCAATAAAATTGCTTTAAGACCTTCGTTCGTAAACAATTCAACATCCAAAACTTTGTTCACTTGAGAACTTGGTTCCTTTTCCCAACTACACGTGATATATGTACCATTTTTGAAAAATAGAGGTTCATCATTTGTTCCATTTGCTGGAGGTGATTTAAATCGGAAACCTTAATTATCGTACGAGAAAAATGAGAAGAAACGAAATATTATTATTTAACAAGAAATGTGCAGAAACGAGACATTATTAAAAAAAAGAGAGAGAGAGAAGAAACGAGAACATTATTATTATTTACCTCCGCAAACTTTTTTAATATCATAAGGATCATCTTCTGAAGCGCGTTGTAAAATTTTCAATTTAGCCTGATGTTTCGTAAAGTCTATAAAAATTATTTTTGTGGAATATGTAATATGTTTCAATATATATTAAAATAATAATAAAGTGAATATTAAAAATATAAATGATTTTTATTCATTTTCTTAATAATAATAATTTACCTTTGGGAATAACAATGCCATTAGTAACAGGAAGGTAATAAACAAACATAAAAATTGTCAATAATAAAATCATAAAAGTGAATTTAACGTTCCAAGAAGACATCCTTGATTTTTTTTTGATTTTTTAAAAGTGAATTATGAATTATGAACTATCATTTACTAATAAATAAATTTATTGTTATTTTTTTTTTAAAAAAAAAAAAAATAATAATAATTAATTAAATTTTATGATTAAAAATAAGTGTATTTATTATTATTCAAAAAAATATGGACGTATATTTTTTTTCGCCAAAAAATCAGGCGAGAATTTCAAAATATCCATGGTGGTTATTTTTATATCTTCCAATGTGTGCAGTGGTGTGATCACAATATGAGTTCATTATGCATCAATACAATTTTTAGTATAATTGAATACAAAATAAAAAAAAAATACCCTGAAACAATAATTATCAATTTTTAACTTAACGAGTAACTCAAACAAATAAGTGAATTATATTTAACTTTCCAAATGTTGTAAAACATTTATTACATTTAGTTTTTTTCACTCCTTTTGAATTCACTCAATTTTTCCATATTTGGTATCAAATAATAAAAGATTTCCTAATTGTAATTAAGGGATTTTTATGTGCACACAATACATAATTGTTATTGTTCATCCCTAGATTTATTCCCAAGGAGATAATCTACAGCTAATTTATATTTATAGTTAAGTTTAATAATTTATAGTTTATTCATTAAACGGCTGCAGGCAAAAGTGAATGAGCTCAAAATAAAATTATTTCATTTGTTGATTCATCACAGTCAAGAATTATTCGTCTGCATTTCATAATGGCTTTTGGGACAAGTAACGTCTTTAAATTCATCTCAGGCAAAAGACGAATATTATTGTAAAGATACTCTTGACGTTTGTAATCATCGAGTGCGATTTTTTTACTAGGTGTTTTCGAAAGCATTTTATTTATGGTATCTAATCAAAAGAGGTTCTAAAATGTCTCTGCAGTTTTTTTAGGCTGAAAATTTCATTAGATCGGATTTATTATCTTCGAAAAAATTAAAATATAGTATATACAATTATTCGAAAGACAGAACTCTTTCTATACAGTCACGTGCTGGGACGCGTTTTTGCGCTTTTTCGACTGTCCATACCCTTAATTAGCTTATAAAGGTAGATTAAAACTTTACAGATATATGTAAAAATCAATTTTAAACAATTTTTAATTAATGGCTCAAAGTGGGTTTTATAATAAAATTTTTGCTTTATTTACGTTTTTTTTTAAAAAAGGGTGATTTTTGTTTAAATCAACAGTACATAATAAAAATATTATTTTTTAATGTACTTTGAAAATACAGAATGCGCTGGATTTTTTTTTTTTTTAAAAAAAAAAAAAGAAAACTACCATAATAAAAATATTATTTTTTAATGTACTTTGAAAATACAGAATGCACCGGATTTTTTTTTTTTAAAAAAAAAGAAAGAAACTACAGAGTTCTCAAAATGGAGTTTAATTGGATTATTTTTTATATATCGTAGAACCAATTAATTATGCAAGTTTTGATGATATTATCAAAGAAAAATGGTAAATATATCCATTCTGATATTTGCACGAACTAAAATAGAAAATTCATACAAATCTCTACCGTCAACCAGAAATTCGTGAATTATCGAAAAAAAAAACAAAACAGGGATTTAATTTTCCCAAATAAAATCTACAATAGTACGATTTTTTAATATTTGCTACAATTTTAATAAAATCTTTATTCTTGTTAAAATTCAATAAGTAATAAAGTAATGTTCTCTTTAAAAATGATTCACAGTGGTCGCATTAAGCTGTAAGTCATAGATAAACTTTTACATTATACAAATGTAAGGAATATTTTTTTATTTTATTCTAGGAATGCAGACAAGTAATTTAGGAATTTCAAAGATTTAGGAATTCTAAAAGAAGTTCAAAATTAGTAAGAAGAGTTTAAAAATGAAAAATATTCTTTGAATGAATTACTATAGAAAATTATTATATTAGATTTAACTTATTTTAATTGAAATATATTGTAAAAAAAAAAAAAAGTTTGAAATCTTTAATAGCATTGTGATTCTTGAGTTGCATAATAAACCATACGTAATCAATTACAATTTCAATTTTATCTAAAATAATATATAAGAATTATAAAAAGATATAAAACATAAACATTTTCTTTTAAATTTCATTAACCCATTTTGTAATCCATTCCCCAGCTTTTTCTAAAACCCATTTAACTTTTTCCTCTGAATCATTTCCTTTATATCCATCTCCATTTTCTATTACCAATTTCTTTAAAACTTTTTTTGCTTTCTCAAAGCAAATCTCACTTTCTTCTTTAAATTTGGAAAACAGCACAATCTCCAAATACTTTATGGCAATTGATGTCGTCCAAATTTCTTCTCTGATAGCTTTACTTTCTTCCTCTACTTTAGGAATACTTTTTTTCAAGTTATTATTAATTTTATCTCCACCATCATCAAAATACTTATAAAACTCTTTACTGGCTAAAAATTTTCCATCATATGATTGTAATCTCAAGAAGTTATACAATATTTCTACATTCTCACCACGCTTCACATTAAATGACAACTTTTCATTTTCATCACTTTTATCGTTATTATTATTATTATTATTGTTATTGTTGTTGTTGTTGTTGTTGTTATTGTTGTTGTTATTGTTGTTGTCATCGTCATCGTTGGCAGATCTATAGATCGAAGACCCAAATGAAAGTTCCGGGATTGACGTTGACATAGAAGTTCCGGGAGCTATATATAAAAAAAAAAATAATAAATTAAGAGCATTTTCGAAGAAAAAATTCAAATAAAATTTATAAATTACCGTCATAAGCTTTTTTAAGAGATTGTCTAGGTGATAATAATTTAAAGGCGCTAGCCACAGAAAACGAAGCAGATCGTAATTTTGAAGAAATCGAATTTGTAGAAACTGAAGATGTTAAAATTGGAGAAGCTGCATAATTATATTGCATGTTATGAAGACTGGTAGACTTAAGCGTGGTGTATTTGATTTGTGGTTGTTGCAGTTCTGATTTTGGTATAATCTCAACCATAGATATTTGAGAATTCTCGCGTTCGTCAATTGCCAAAAAACTAAAACAAAGAAATAAATAATTGCTTATCTGAATTAAAAACTATACCAAAAAACTATATATAAATATTTTACTAACCTAGTATATCTTGATGTCAAACTAAATCTTTTACCCAAGTTTATAATCTGCTCCCGAACAATTCCTTGATCCAAATTTTCATTCATAATTTGATGTAAATAAGAAGTTCCCTCTTCAAAATCTTGTATCATTTTTCTTGCACCTAATGTGTGTATCTTTGATCCTTGTAAAGTTACTGGATCAACTGGTACCTCTAAACGAATTGGCCCGTCTTCACAAGTGGCCTCAAGAATTATATGTTTAGGTGGGGAAACCTCTTTGGATAGAAAACAGTAAATTATAAATCTGACACCTGAATAAAGAATGGGTATTTTGTATGGGGTAGAACAATATTTCAATGTTGATGTGTTGGCATCATTGGACAATTTCTTGAAAAAGTTGAGGAAAGAAGAAGCTGATGGTTTGTCATCGTTATCTCTACAACTTTCCTCATCTATCCATGTAATCTTAAAACCTTTAACGAGCGGTGTTTTAACAGCATTTTTTAACATTCCAATAATCTTTTTATCCATTCTTTCTTGGGTCGTCACAAATTGAGCGTATCCTTTACCTGCTCGCGAAATAGATTCCACCAGATAATGCGAAACTGAATTACCAATTCCCAATGAAAACAATCGTAATTGTTCTTTTCTTTTTGATAAGGAATCAGAGATTAACTTGACAGTTTGGTCGACATTATATACTTCTCCATCTGTTAGTACAAATAATGCAGTGGGGAAATCCATATATTCCTTTCTTTTATCCTGAGAAGTCTGTAACACCCATTGCAATACACTATATATTTCAGTTCCACCATAACTTGCATCCATGGATTTTGCGTGAGCCAATGCCTTTTTAAAAGTTTCTTCCGTGTAAGGTTTACTTTCCGGAAATAAAGATGTAAAATTTGAACCAAATGATACTACATTAAATATACAATCTTCAGGTAATGAGCGAAGGATTAGTTCTAAAGCTTCCTTGGCTTTTTTGATGGGATCACCTTCCATAGAACCAGAGCTATAATTTATTATTAAAAATTGTTAATATTATTGTTACTTATTGCATTAAAGTGTATATGTAAATACATGTATATAACTATATATATATATTGAATTACCGATCAATTATAAATATTAACTCAGTGGGTGTAGATTTAACAGAAGCTAAATATGGTACCATAGTTAACATTATACAATTTGTTTCGGTTTGCGGATTATATTCCAAGAACGCCCTGTAATTCAAAATTATAAAATCGAACGAATATTAATATGTAATAATAATATTATAATACATTGGATATTATGATTACCTTGGTTGATCCAAATCTTTACTTTTAGCCACCAACACAAAATCTTTTTGCAAATAGCTAACGTCTTCTGCCAATTGGACCTTTGCCACTTTATTATCTCCACCAATATTCAATTCGGTGGTAATCAAGTGTGATGAAGATTCGATACTTGTAATCATCGATGTCATTCTGCATGTAACTTCGATTGTTAAAGTAGCATTCAAGACAGGGGACACATTACCAGGTACAAGCACTTTTCCATCATTAGATCCCGGGTTTAAAGGTGATTCATCTGAGGATCCATATCTCGGAGCGATCGTTGTAGGTAATATGAATCTTATACGCTCATTTTCTGAATCATGTTTCAATTCTGAGACATAAGTTATTTTAATTACTACGGTTTGCTGAGGAGTTAGATTACCCACTGAACATTGAAAGACATCAGATAGTTCTTCTTCTAATAAATAGGCGCCATAACCACTCTATAATAATAAAGATTCTTGTTTCATTCTAACATTACATGATTATATGATTTATATGATTGTAAAGAATACTCACCGCTACAGCTTCTTTATATTTTTGGGCTGCTTCTTTGGCTTCATGAACAATGCCTTTAATTTTTCTATCACCATCAATTTCCGCTTCAAATTCATAAATGGCAGAATTCTCATATATTGAGAATTTATATAAAGCTTCAATGGTTTTGGATGTAGTATTTTTGTAGGTTTGACAAATTTTGACTATTTTGTTTTTTTAGTCAAAGAAAGGACGAATAATTAAAATAAATTAAAATTAAATATATGTATATATAATATATATAATGAAAAATGAAATTTGGATTGTTACCTTCAGAGATCATATCAACAACTAATTTCAATATCATCACGAATTTTCATATTTTCATTTAAAAAAAAAAAAAAAAAAAAAGAAGTCTGGAAACTCGAAAACATTATTTAAAATAGGATAGTTATTTTTAAAAAATTATCAAATTTTATTTCTTGAAATACTAAAAAAAAATAAAAATAAAAATTCATACTATTAGCCTCCACTGAAACATTTTTCAAAGCAAGCAATTCAGGTTCATTATCATCTAAAACATATATTAAACCGTAAAGTTGCATTTTTATTTTTAATATTTGTCAAAAAAGACAATAAAGTCAGAGAAGTAGAATTTTCGTGTTGTGGGAAATTAATCAGTATTTTACTAATTAGGTTAAATCATTCTGTGTTTCATAAACATTGTCATTTTTTTTGTGACTATAACGCGCGCGTTATTGCATTGTTTTAATTGTTTTAGCTTGTAATTTGGGATAAAATATATCAATATAACTTGTTAAATGCAATTGGCAATATAGGTAGAAGAGACATTATTTTTTACGAAAATTGGTATATTTAAATCTTGAATAACATTGCAGAATGACATTGCAAAAAATGATGTTTGTAAGTGATAATATACGAATCGGAATCGCTTGACAATTTAAATCTAATAAAGTTTTACATTTTTCTATTACTACATTTTTATTTTTTTCTAAAAAGAATTACAATAAATGTCTAAACGTCTCGCTCTGAAATAAAAGAAAAAAGCAAAGTTTCTTCTTTTTCATTACTATTTGTTTATTTTTTTTAATAAAGAATCACAAAAAAAGTCTAAATGTCTCGCTCTAAAATAAAAGAAAAAAAATTAAATGATTCTAGCTAAAGAAGATAATTTTCCATCATTTACTCTAAAAGAATTAAAAGAATGGAAAAAAGCAAGTCTCAAAAACAAGATTCTGAGATGTGATATAACAATGAATTTTATTTGATTCATTATTTTAGTGACTAGAATTTATAGCCGTTTCTTTGGAACATAGCTTTTACAGCTACTAAAGTTAAATATTTTAACATAATAGACGATCTTTTTAAAGGTAAACACTGAAAGAGATTTTACTAAAAGGATCACAGATAATCTTCATGATAAATCTAACATTCTGAAAATGTTATGTTTTAAGAGTAATTAAAATGTATAGGTTTTATATAATGCTCAAGAGGTTCGAGAGATAATGTGCAAATTTAATAATTTAATTCGATATCGGAGATTTCAATTTTTCAAAATGTAAGAAAATTCTTCCTAAGGTTGATATGATAAGATTTTGTGATTTTCGTGAGATGTTTTCAAATTTTTTGATGAATCGGAGTCGTTATGGAAAATATAATTGAACATTTTGAATTTTTTTTTTTTTTTCTTTAAGTGTAAAAGATCATCGCAAAAGAAATTCAACAAATAATTTATTAATCACATGACAGAAAATATATAATTTAATTTATTTAAAACGAGTCTTCTTTCTAGATAAGTTACAACGAAAATTTAAGACAAAATTTATAACAATAAATATTCACTAAAATGTAATGGAACTTAATAAACATTAATCAAATAATTATAATAAACAATAAATTATAACATTAATCCAAGTCGTGATGTTTATAATTTCTTATAATCTCTCAATATCTCTTCCACATCTCTTTTCAATTTTCTTTTCTATTCTCCTTATATTAAAAGTCTCCCTCTCGAAATTATTTTGAAACTATTGTAACTATTGTTGATAACAAAATGAACTTTATTATTTACCATATTCTCTAATTAATTTGATGGTCCATTTTCATTATTAGTTTCGGTTAAATTGAGATTTCCCACTTTATCTTTTATTTTATTTAACGCATCGGTGATATCCCTTTCGTTATCTTTTATTTTATTTAAAGCATCAGTTGCTGCCTGCTTCTTGGCACTTTGTTTATTTTTCCCACTACCTGTACCCACAGTAATTTCTGAAATTCTAACTTCAAATCTGAAAATTGGATCATGGGGAGTACCACCCCTTGATATTTGACTATATAATGGTATAAAATAACCTTTTCTTTGTGCCCACGTTTGTAAACTTCCAATAGAATCTAAATGTATATCTTTACTCGGTTTAACATCATTAAATATATCGTCACTTTCATCTTTTTTTTCAATTTTTACTGTTATTTCTGGCAACCGATCGACATAAGGTTCGATGAGTGGTTTCATATACTCCATTACCTTCATCAAATCTTTTTTCACATCTAAAAAGATAGCGCCGACATATGCTTCAAATGTGTCGCATCTAATTTTTTCGTTATTTTTTAACATATGGCTTCCCGCTCCCATTCGAAGTTTTTCATTCAAACCAAGTTGTTCAGTAAAAAGTGCCAATGTTTCTTGACAAACTATTTTTGCACGTAATTGTGTTAGCTGCCCTTCGTTATACTCTGGAAACCTTTCATGAATATAATCAGCCACAATGCATGATATTACTGAATCACCTAGGAATTCAAGTCGCTCATTTGGATGTCCTGACATTGGATTTTCATAACAGTAGGTTCTATGTGTTAATGCTTCTCTTAATAAATTTATATCTTCGAAAACGTGTAATTCTAATTTTTGAGCCATATTTGCTATATTTTCATTAAAAAAAAAAAAAAAAAAGAGTTTAAATGCGTACAAAATGAAAAATGAAAAACATAAAACATACGTAATAATTTAGTCTCTCCATCTTGCATAATCTTTGCTGATCTTAGTAAATCTTCAGCGGATCTGTGTCATGAGAAAACCAAGATATTTCTTTATTTATAAACAATACAAATATCGATTAAGTGGAGTGGCTTGATTAATAATTATTTTTGGCGAATTGTGTCACGTCACGCCAGGTATGGGCTGAAGTAAAAGCCACAATCAATGATACCATTTAAATTTTAAAGTATTACCAAAAATTTCAGGGGTCAATATTGTTTTTTTGACATCAACCGCTGTAATGTTGTAATGTGATCATTTTTTGCTTAGAAATTCTCTTGATAAAAAATAATATTAATTATAATACCATTAGAAGTATTTTAAAAAAGGAGCAAATTTTTAGCTATAGTTTATTAAAGAAATGGAAAAGGATTAACCATTTAAAGTCATACCTTGGTTCTTAATAATGTCACCACTTTCTATGTAATGAATTATAGTTATAAGAATTCAAACTTTGTAATTTCACTTTATGGAATAGTGGAACTAAAATTTTGATGATTTTTATTATTCTAAATTAGAATGACTATGGGTAAAAAAAGAAAAATGAATATTTATTTTTTTAGATATTAATATTATTAATTGTAAGAGATGTTGATAAAAAAAAAAAGGTATAAATAAAGAACAAATTAATTTACTGTCCTTTGTTTTAGATATTAATAATGATAATAATAATAATAATTAATAACAAGGATCAATTTTCTTTGTTTTAGATATTAAAAAAATGTATGAATAACGAAAAATCAATTTATTATATTTTAAATATTAATATTGAAAATAACAAAAAATTAATTCCCTTTGTTTTTTGTTTTAAATATTAATTAATAACAAGGAATCAATTTTTCTCGTTTTAAATATTAAAGAAAATTATCTTTATTTTAGACATTAATAATATTAACAATTTAAATATAAATACTGACATGATAATGATTATTATATTGATGATAACTATAATGACGATTATAATAATAACGAAGATTATGACTACGATAATTATGATATGATAATAACGCTACTGGTGATGGTAATGATAATGATGGTAGCAATAATATTAATAACAACAATGTTGGTAATTACGATCATGCTAATTTGAATATTGACCATTTTTTTTTTGATAAAAATAATAATAAATAATATAAAATTTTTGTTATCTTCTAAGAATCTATTATAGCATAGTAGACATTTGATTTTATAGATTAAAATTTGTGATGTTTATGAGAGGATCATCACATAAAAAATTAATTTTTATTGGTTAAAGATCATTGCACATGATATTACATATGATATATTTTTAATTAAAAAAATGAATGTTTTTTTATTTTTAATAAAAAAAAATTATTCTTTAATAAGAAAATAATCTTTATTTTTATTAAATAATATTTTTTTTTGTCTTTTTTAATAAGGATAATTTTTTTTATAATTTTTAATACTATAAAAAATTATAAAAGACAAGTAAATTTGTAAAGTATAAAATAAAATAAATAAATTAATAAAATTTTTTAACAAATATAAATCAAAATCTTCAATTTCTATTTAATATAAAATGCCAAAATTCAAAAATATTGGTTCATGTTCTATTATAAATTGTAAAAATCAAGGCCCATTTAAAAAATTTAATAAATTTGTTAAAAATAAAGCCATAATAAATAAAACATATGAAACATATAATTATCTTCGAATTGATGATCAGCTTTGTTATTCACATTATTTATCAATTGTAGAATTAAATAGAAAAAACATTATTAAAAAATGAAAATCCTGAGATTTTGAAAAAATTTATAATATTATAGATGAAGATGAATATACAGAATCTAAATTATTTGATATTTTAAAAAATTCAACTAACAATATTGATATAAATTTTGATCATTGATCAGATATATATATTAATTATCATAATGATAAAAAATATATATCAAATGAAAATTTTAATATATTAATAAATAAAATAAAAGAAATACAAAATCAATTAAATTTATATAAAAAAAATAATTTAAATGAATTTAGTGAAAAAATTAAATTATTATCTAAAATTTTATATACAAGACGAAGACAATTAAAATTAGATATTGAACTTGATCCTGAAAAATTTAAAAATATAATTGAACAAAATAATTCAAAATTAAAAGGATTTTTCAATGAACTAGTTGATATCTTTTTATCTTCTAATAGATCAACATATAATTTAGAAAATACCAAAAAGTCTCTTGTTGGATTTTGTTATTTACTAGTTGGTTTAGGAAATAAATTTAATAATTCTCTTCAATTGGAAATTGGTCTTTATTTATTTTCATATAGAGCATCTGTAAAATGTATTGATATAATGGTAAGACTTGGTATTTCAGTATCTTATAAAACAGTAAATAGATATAAAAAATTAATTACAAATAATCATTCAAAAAAAATAAATCAATATTTTGAAGAAAACAAAGATAAATTATTTTGTTTTAATATTGATGATTACCATTTAATCCATAGTTTTAGAAATCCAAATACAACAACTCTTTTATCAGCACATCATATGGCAACATGTATTATAAAAACTATAAAAAATAGTATAGCAATATTAGCAAATAGCAATGGTATTTTTATATATAATTCTAAAAATATTGAAGATTGGCATATTAATTTTTATTTAATAAATAAATATATTAATTCAATAAGTAATAGTTATAATTTAGAAAAAAAAATTGGTTAAAAGATAATACAAATACCTTTAATCAATTTGATAGAATAGAACTTTTAACAGTTCATTCATATGATGATATTATAAAAAAACATCAGAATAATAGATCTATGATAAATTGTTATTTAATTAATATAAAAGAACAAAATCTTAGAAGTTTAGATGATTATTTAAATGCTCTTAAAATAATTACAAATATTTCTTTATTAAATAATTACCTTAATATATGTAATGTAATATCAGTTGTTGCAGATTTTCCTGGTCAACTATTTATTAGAAGAGCAGTAACTTTATTTTATAAACAAAAAAATTAACAAAATATTTCATCAATACAAATACCTGAGATAGTTAAAAATTTTATTTCAATTCTAGAACCTTTGCATGTATCATTAAATATAAGAGAAGATATTATATTAATTCATTGATTTTTTTTTTGAAAAAATGTTTAAATCAATTTTTGGTTCAAAAAAAATATTAGCAAAAAAACCAAACCTTCTAGAATTAATATACTTTTAGAACTTGTTAGTGCAGGATGGAAAGAAATTGTAGAAGAAATATTTAAAAAATTTGAATCACTTTATAAAGATATAGAATTTCAAACTTTAATAGATCTTTTAGATAATTTAATACCTGCTACTTTAGATATTTATAATATAATATTTTGCTCAGGTTCTTGTGATCAATATGTAGATACAATTTTTAGATTATGGACATTTGCTTTAAGATGTGAAAGAAAAAATTATGACAAAATTCCATTAGCATTTTTTTCAGATTATTTTTATTGGAAAGATAATAATAACTCATTTTTTGAAACAATTCAATCTTACCTTGTTAACTTTAATGATTATTATGTTGAAAATTTGTATAGCAGGATTAGAAGAAATACAAGTTTACACCATTCTTCTGAAGCTATAATTTCTCAAGTATTTATATTGGAATCTAATGATCAAAATTTTTTTAGTTCATTTAGAAAATTCAAAAATTTTTCATATGAAGAATCTATGATAGATTTTTTAAATATAAAACAAGTTTATTTTTAATTAATTATTTCTATCAAATTTATCAAAATATAGAAAAAAGTAAAAAAATTAAAAAAAATAAATATTATTTTACAACATTAGATAAAAATATAAAATTAAAATGCTTACTAGCTGGATACCATACCTCTAAATTACCATCTAATAATATTGGTTGTAATTACTGTAATCAAAAATTCGAAAATAAGAAAAGTATAATGTTAATATGTAATTATACATATCATTACAAATGTTTTGAAGAGAAAAATAATAGATGTAATTATTGGTTAAAATTTTATAAAAAAGGAGTTGTCTCAAAAGTAAAATCTTATATAAATAGACTAGAAAAAGGTAATATTGATAATGATAATTTATTAGATGAAGAAGATAAAAATAATATTAATGATGATGATGATGATGAAATAACAGAAAATGAAAAAGTAGTATTAGATTTTAAAAATGCTTTAGAATTAATAAAAACTTGGTAATTTATAAAATAATAAAAATAAATCAACATATTAATACTAAAAATCTTAAATTTTCACTTACAATTGCTTCTAATATAACCTACTCAAATCAAATTGATCAATTTGATCAGGCTTTACTAACATTAAGAGATGATAGAAAGGAATATATTAATGTAAAAAAAATCACAATTATTATATTCTCAGTTTTGTGTTCAATTATGGAATAATTTATTATTTTATAATTGAATAAGTAAATAATGTATAAATATTATAAAGATCAAATATTTGATAGCTGATATTAAATACTATCTTTAGTTATAACTAATTATATTATATATTTTAATTAATTATACTATACATTATTTTTTTTTAAATTATAATATGTATTACTAATTTACTTATTTTAAAATAATCTAGTTATTAAAGTTATTTCAAAATAATTCAATAATTTGGTCATTTAAAAATTATACAAAAGTGATTTAGGTTATTTTAAAAAACTAGATCTTAATAATATTATTATATTAACTTATGGACTTGGGTTTGAAAAATAACTAATATTCTTTAACAATACTAAATAAAACTATACAAATAATTATTATAATTTACAAAAATTACTCAGATCAATTTGAAATAATTATTTGATAGTAAATTTGAAGGAATATTACAGATGAGTTCTTTATTGTGAAAGGGATTTTAACACATTAAATTAGTTTG